TTCACTACTCAGTTTAAACATGATATGTAAGTCACTTAGATAACTTAAAAATGTTATTGTTTGGCTTTTTTTAGTATTTTATTTGTTCCTGAGTAAATCTGTTTGGCTGAGATTAAAGTTATAGTTTTTACACAGCTGAATAAACATCAAGCAGACAGCTGATCAGAAGTGTGAGATGCTGTCCTGTTATATTTTAGATAGCAAGGAGTTTATTAAACTTCACCAAAACAATCAGTAAATTTCATTAAAATTTAATAAACTATCATCTTGTCTTTATTTTAGTTAGCACATACCTGAAACACTTAAAGCTGTAAGCTAATGACAGTTATATAAGAGCAGATGCTGCTGGTGCAATAATCTATATGTTTTATGTCCAATGGATGATGATCTGATTAGTCGACTAATGCAAAAATAATCGGTGACTAGTCGACTATCAAAATAATCGTTTGTGGCAGCCCTACTTCCCAGTAACAGGTTGTACATTTTTTACTGCAGTTAGAAACACATGGAAATATTTCAATGTGACTTTTTTGTGTGGAGAGTGGGGATTGGATAAAAGTCTGATTGGATAAGTGGTTAAGAGGATGTATGGATGGATGTTTGATCAGATCAGTTCCAGAGTTATAGCATAGTTACCTTTCAAGACCTGATGTCCAACTCTACCTTAAGAACTAAACTTACATTTTTGCCTTCACCACAGCAGAGGCTCCAATAATGAGAAAAAGTATTAAATTGGTCATTTCCTAAACTGATATGTAATAAACAGTATAGCCCAAAGCAGGGTCTCCAGGTCTTCTGTTTAATACTTTAAAAATGGATAATAGGTTTTTCTGTCAGTCTCATTCCCAGCTTGGATGCGCTCATCTCCAAATCCACTTTCATGCCTCCCATCACTGCAGTGTGTTTATGTAATGCGCTGATTGCTGGTGTGCTCTCACTCTCAGTATCTTTTTGTCGTTTCAGTGTGTGACCCCGTCCTCGGAGATCATGGATCTATGGTGAGATTACTGATTATTCGTGTACCCTGTTGTATGTGTGTCTGTTGTTTTTAAGAAGGAATTTTGTGCCTTTCAGTTTTGTGTGGGTGGGATTTAGTGTGTGTGTGTTTATACAAATATATATATTTGTGTTCGTGTTCTGTGGGTGTGTTACAAGACTAATTTCTCATGACAGAGGGATTATTGTGATCTGACAGTATTACATATACACAGTGACTCACTCTGTGTGTGTATATATATCTACTGTGTGTGTGTTTGTGTCTATGTTGTGTATGTATTACATTATGCGGACAGTCTGTGTTGATCATGTAAAAGCATGAAAACAAACATCAGAGAAAAGCTTTGTATTAACTCAGCCCACAGATGAAGTGTGTTTGTGTGACTCTGTTTCCACAGTATGTTCCTCAGAATCTTTATCCCGTCTATAAGAACAAGGTGGTTCCTGTTGCTGACATCATCACTCCTAACCAGTTTGAGGCTGAGTAAGTAAAAGTGTTTTCAGTCTTGACAATTTGACGACTCTGTGACCATCTGTTCATTCACCTTCTGATTAGTAGACTAATATCACTGCATAACTGTCACAGATTAGTAGGCAGAGGACTCACTCGCAGGACTCTGAAGTTTAGAGAGAAGGTGAGGGTTTATTTGCAATGTGACACCAAGTGAGAATATATACATATATACAGTGGAACAGATAACACGGGGCTCCAGGGAGTAGGGCGGGGTCCGAAGGGAAGGTCCAAGACGGGGGTACACACACGCTTCAACTTGATCCGTAACTCACTCCAAATGTCCACACCAAAAAGCTCACGCTCACTCACACACATCCACAGAAATCCAGACGGCAGGGAAGACGGGCTGGGAGTCTGGAAGGCCTGTACACAGAGAAGAAACAATGTCAGGAGGAAACTCTAGGAGATCAAAGGGAACACTTTCATGGGCTAGGCTACACTGACGCTAGGTAGTGTGACGATCCAGCGAGGAAGCAGCCTCTCTTGCCATCTTAAGTAGTCTGCCAGGATCAGTGTGAATGAGCCACAGGTGCGTGTTCAGGGCGGGTTCAGAGGCGGGGAATCAAGGTCCAGTTCCGCCCTGGTGGGAGAGGCTAAGACAAAAAATACACACACCACGACCTCTCCAGATCTTGAGAACCATGACAATAACAAAGCCTTATATTATTGCCAGAGCTTAGTTTTATTTATATAGTGCCAATTGTCTCAATGTGCTTTATATTGCAAGGTATAAACTAGATGTTGATCATATGGTCACCAATGAGCAGCCCTTGGTGACAGCAGGAAGGAAGAACTCCTTTTAAACAGGAAGTGAATGCATTACTTTAGTTCCCTAGTAAGAACATATATTGACATGAATGCATTCCCAATCCTCTTACAGGTAAGTTTAAACAGCTTAATTCCGAACCCTGATCCCTAAGTTAAGTTTAATCTGCAAAGTAATAATAATGTAATGTAATAATGTGAGCAAGTAGGTCTCATAAAGACAGCTGGATGTGTTTTTATTTCATTTTATTTATTTATTGCCTGGTTTCCTTCTGTGAGAGAGTCCTTACAACGGTCCTCTGCTCGTGTCTGAGACAAACTCTCCCTGAATGGTTTTGTAGTTGTTCTGATTTTCTGAGTATATTGGTGCAAACGGTCTTTATGTAATGCCACTTATGTTACCTAATACTTCTATTTTGTGGTCCCAAAAATACATCTTTGCTCCCCTTGTATCCTCTCTTATCTTTCTTGTTAATTTTTCCTTCCACACTTCCTGAGAATCTCTTTTATGTACTCTTAATTTAAGCACTGTAAATCCAAGATGACTTGAGTTCTTTGAAAATACATTATTTTAATCAGTTACTTATTTCCTCTCTAAATATTTCTTTATAAATAGTGGTTGTGTAAATAAAGATGGATCCTTTCTTCTGTCACTCCTCTTTACCCTGAGATCACACAGTGAGATTGCATCATTAGTGCTTTGCTGTTTTTGGAACAAGATTAAGTCTGATTCACGCTCCAGTTCAAAGGTTATAGCAGCAGGAGAGCGCAGAATACAGTTAGTGCCATTCAAGTACAGTAATGATTGATTAGGTTGAAAATAATTTGTCAGCTCAGCAACAGAAGAAAAAAAATTCTGACAGTTGCTTTGATCTTTTTTTCCTAGTCTGTTCAAACTGTTTTATGGATGGACCCAGGCAGAGTGATTAGTGCATCCTGTAAAGCAGCATAATAGCCTAACAGCTAACATTAGGTACAGTTTTTGCTTGATATATAATGGTCTTTAAAATACACCATTTGAATAATTTGGAACTTGAATAATTTTGATGGAAACTGTTAAATTGAACCTCTTGTTAGTCGACCTGCTCATTATTCTGTGGAAAAGTAAAGATGGTGGTTGAAGCCCAGTCCTAATATTTTGCATTATGTCATTCGTGTTCTGTTTGTTTTCTCATCACATTAATAAACATGAAACTATTTGAAAACCTTTTTGAATGTATATTAGTGTCTCTATAAGAAAACGATTTTCTGCACTAAGTCATTTACTGTGGTAAGATTTAAAGCCTCATTTTTACCTCCTTTATAGTAGGACTCAGTGGACCTAACAGATGAAGCCATCAGATTATTTGTTATAAATTCTTAAAAGTGTAACATCTGCTGCTTAGGTTTTAAATGACGTTTTTATGATCTCCACAGTCACATGTGAAGGTTTTTTAACCCTTGCAGCCTCTTTTTTGCAGCAATATTAAGCAGTTTAAGAATCTCACATCTGTCACAGCTTTATTGTGACGTTACTCCACCTGCTGGTTAGTCTGTATGCCTGCAGAATCAGACTGAATCAGGTTTCTGTTCATGAAAGAGTCTTGATTTAGTGTCTTCAGGGTCTTTGTTGCAACTATGTTTTCACACGTTATTTATTTTGCAGCTGTTGTGATTGTTTGCTTGTGTTTTAGATTATTGACGGGGAAAAACATCAGCACAGAGAAAGACGCTGTAGAGGTAACATATCTAGTTATCCTGTTTTTCTTGTCTACATGAACATTAGTTCTTGCTGTAACAGTTGAGCTTGTCTTTTTGCCTTTTCCAGCTTCATACTTCTGTATCTTATGTTCTGATTGTAGGTAATGGACCTCCTCCATGCGATGGGCCCAGACACAGTGGTTATTACGTCCTCTGATCTTCCCTCTAGACTTGGAGACCGCTTCCTGGTGTCATTGGGCAGCCAGCGTCATGGTAGGCGACAGGATTAGGAATGTAGTTTGACATTAATACAGGAATTTAACCTGTTGTGTGTCTGTTGTGCTGTTCAGTTCGTCCAGATGGCAGCAGGACAACACAGAGAGTGCGATTAGAAGTTCCCAAAGTGGATGCTGTCTTTGTAGGAACTGGAGACTTGTTTGCTGCTATGTTGCTAGCGTGGACACATCACTACCCCACTGACCTAAAGGTACACACTCACAAACAAACACACTTTGGAGCTCAGTCCAAAGTAACTGAAAGTTTGAGGAATAGGAACAGATTAAAAGACCTGCAGAGATTTGATGAATTAGTCCTCTGACTAAAACCAAGAGCAACGGTTCTGCTTTTTGG